ACACTTTACTGAATTTTTCTCTTCCCCAAATAACAAGGCAGAGGGTAGTTTTGAGAATCTTATCTACCAAGGTTAACTTGGCTAGTAAGTTATTCACTAAACGCATCTGTTCTTAATTACACTGTTCAATTTTCAAATAAGATCATTGCTGTTGTAGCAAAACCAAATCAAGAACACAAATTTTCCAGTTAAAGAATGAAAATACTTTAACTTTGCTAATTTCAAAATAGTTCGACACTGAGAATTAAGTATAGTTAGAAAAACCACTCTAAAATGACAAAATATAGTATAGGTAAAATATTTAAACTACCTTTAATAATAATGGGTAAATCTGATAATATGACTAAAGATTCCCTTTTAATTTCTTTTCAGTAAGTGTTTCTCATACTTGATTTATATTCTTGAAAGCTAAGTTGTGCAAGGTGACAAACACCTATTCGTGTGTTTATGTGCTTGTTTCTTCCACTCAAAGCAGAGATTCTCATGGGTAATGACCAGGCTTCCTTATTTTTTATCTCCTGGGACTAGACTACTGTGCCAAACAGAGCAAAACCTCAGTTAAGTATTGATTAAATGAGTATCCCTAGGTCTGTGGGTCTTAACCAGAGGCAGGCCTCAGAATCACCTAGGGGACATTTCAAAATTATGCCTGTTCCCAGAGAAAATGATTCCATAGATCTGCTAAGATCCCATATACTATATTTTTTAAGATCTCTGCTCAATATCCTGATATATAAATGCAACTCATGTCAAAACCCACAAACAATATAGAATGCAAAACCCAATCTAAGATTAGAGACTTTAATCTGAAAACTTTTATGTCAGTAGTAGAAAGCTAGTATCTTCTTTACTAGAAAAGGATCATTATAGTCAAAAGGATTTGGAAAATCTTCAAGAATTGACTGTGTATTAGACTAACAAGGAGTACTGAATCCTTGAATTAAGTAACATATAACCTAACAACAGATACAAGTAATAGTTTTCCCCCTAGTTCTAGTAAGAGTATTCAACTGTATTTGTAGGAACAACGAAAACTACAATGCTGCAGATGAGGATGATATAAGCAATGTTAAAGTAAGTCACTCTTAATAAAATTAAACACCAAGGTCACCGTGATTAGCATCCATGAGTCACACAACCATCCCACAAATTTAGCTGGCTACACAAGCACCTTGAGGGTCTTAAAGAAACCCCTGCAAAACCATGTATCCAGCCTACAGGCTCTTTGGGGATAAGTGTATTTTAAGATACCCCTAGCAATTAGTTGGCACCTGGTAGTTCCCATAGTCCTTGAAGAGACTAATCAAAAAGAAACTCACTCCTGCTTTCAAAACTTAGGTTAGTGAACGTCTTAGTTCACAAGTTAGCTATAACCTGAGAGTAAGAGTAAAGTCAAATCCCAATTATTTAAATGTGAACTGGGAAAGGAGAGCAATAGCTTATCTCAGGTAGCAAGACCAAGTAACATTCATTCATTTGATGGAACAGAAATCGAAATGGTTCAGAATAGCAGAACAGCATGGAGTTTAAGAACTTAAGCTCTTGAGGTAGACTATCTGATCTCTTAGTCACTTAACTAGCCGTGTGACTAGACAAGGAACTTAACCTCTCTGTGCCTGTTTCCTTATGTATAATATTGAATGGTAAAGAGCATCTATCTCAAGAGAACTGTTGTGAGGATTAATGAGTTGATTCTTATAAAGGGCTTAGGAACAGTGCTTGGTACATAGTAAATGCTAAGTCCTAACTATTATTAGCAGTACAATAATGCAAAAGAAAACCTTTTTGATTATCAAAAACCTAAAGGATGACAGAACAGTTAAGACACATTGTGGAGCCAGACTGTGCAGGTTCAAATCCCAATTCTGCCATGGTATAACTCTGGGTGTTTTTTGACCTTTCTGTGCCTCAGGTTTCTAATCTTGAAATGGGGTAACAATTTAATTGTACCTACTTCCTTGAGTTGTTGTAATATTAAATGAGTTAATACAGGTGTCTCAAATAGTTCTGACACATTGCAAACACTCAAAACATTAATCCTCTAGGCTCGGCTCACATATTTTATGTAAAGTTCTTTTTAAACTTCCCCAAAATACAAGCACCATAGTTATTCTGTTTAATAGGAACAGTAAAATTGTCTATGGTCCTCAAACACCACTAATCAACTTGGGAGTTCCCATTTTTGATTCTTGTTGTTTAATAAATAGCCCTATAAAACCATACTACAGCTTATTAAATAAATAATATAGTAGAAAACCAAGTAAGATTATTTGATAAGGCTGCCTGGTCTAAGAAATACTCAAAATACTGCAACGTAGCTTTAGGAAAAAACAAATCCAAAGGCTTGGCCAGCCATTAGTAGTGGCTAAAAATGGCTAAAAATATCCCAATGATAAACATTTCAATAAAGTATCAACAACGAGTACGGACATCTTAATGTTTGGAATTTGGGGGCTTCAGACAGTAAATTCAAAACAAAGAGATACATGACACAAGAAATACTATACTAACATCAATGCCTACTTGACCTCGTATTTCTAGAACAGAGGTCCCTAAACGAGCCATTTCCCATTACCTCTCTACTCACTAAAATTCTGTTTGGATCTTGGATTTTTTGTTTGGTTTTTCTTCAAGTTTCATCCTGTGATTCTGACACTAACAGCTAAATACCAAGCCACGTGCCTTTCAAAAACTTTCTATAGGTTGAATTAACAGTCCCACATAAACACTGTTTCTTCCAATTTGGAAACTATTATATCCAGTTTCTGTATTACGCATACTTTCAAAATATTTACAACAGAAGACAATCTGGTATTAATGGAAGAACTAAACCAGGGAAGTTCTTTAATTAAAGTTTCTGAGGATTAAAAATAGTGATATTAAATAGCAGTAATAATAATCTGAGTGCCATGTGCTAGGGGCCTGTTCAAAGCCACACATTAACCTCTTTAATCCTAAAATAAACAAAATCTAGAAACCTAGTTTTGCTCACTGCTGCATCCCTGGTGTCTAGAACATACTAGGCACTCAACTATTGTTCATACATAACAAGTATTCATTTTAGAGAGGCATACAAATAACTTGTCCACTCCTAGAACTCTAACTGGAGTATTTTTACCCCAAAGTTCACATTCTTAATTATATTGCCTCTCTAGAGCTTTTAAATCAGTAAGGGCTGTCACAGGAGTTGGGTATCACCTGTAAAAGAAAAAAAATCCATGAGACCTTCCTTTAAAGTGTTCTGTTCCACACACATAAAAAGCTATGGATCTGAAATTATTCCACATCTTAGTAACCTGAACTAATTCTCATATATAAAAGATTTTGATTCGTACTGAATGTTATATTCTTTGTATTAACTATGCTGTAAAATATGACTGTGCTTCTCCAATGTATTGCTGGCCTTAGAAGTGGTCAGAGATGCTTAATCCTTTTTACTTTAAATCTTAACTCCTAAAAATTTTTTCCTTTCCTTTTCTATTCTCTCAAAAACAAAGATTTAAGTTTATATTTCACATAAACTCACAATGACAATGCAATGATGGACTAAATCAAAATTCAAGATTTCAGCCTTAATACATTGCGTGAAGATCTGAACCATCATCTTTCATAATACATTTGGTCAAATAAACTCCAAAGTTACACGTATTAAATAAAATTAGGCAGCATCAAGTCTACTTAGTAAAGCCAAGTCCTTGCCATTCCTTCCACGTAGAGCCCCCTTAAAAAAAAAAGTAACCCATCCAAACCGAAGTTTCTAACCCACAACCTCCTCTGTCTTCTAGTTTTAGTAAGGCTGAATTTATTCCATGACATTTTTTTCAAGTTAGCTGTAAATACTCCACCCTCCTCGATTGTGCAAGAATCAAACACACCACACATAAGACAAGTTACAAAAAAGGGAAATACAGTCTCAGAGTTTGAATATAAAGTCTTGAGCAGGTTGTCTTAAGAGCTGTGTACAATCTGATGTCAAAGTTAACATTTAACAAAGAATATTATTTCATATTATTATGAAAGGAGATGCCGGAAAAAGCCTGAACCAGTTAAAGCAGCCGCCATCTTAAAATGCGGGATAAAGTTAGAGCAAGAAAATGAGACTAAACCACCGGAGGTGGAGGTTCCGCTTACCCCCCCATCCCGAGCCTCGAAAAATCCTATTTTTTCAACTTCTAGCGATAGTTTATATCAAACCACGTTTTAAGTAGCGAAACAATCTTCTCCGAGAGTGTTATTAAATGAGCTGAGGCAAAATAGCTGCACCGAACCTTCTCTTACTGCCATCACACCCCTAGTCCCTCCTTCCCCCCAAAAGAAGGGAGCTTCCAGAAGCCTTTTACATCAGTTCCCGGTGTCCCTCTGACAAATAGCTTCGGGTGAGAAGTTTCTAACTACAAAACATAGAAAGTAGTAACACAGTGTCAGCCCATCTCCTCCCAACCCCACTTACTCTTGTGTAACCTGCCCAGAGTCGATGAAGTTTTGACTAGTCTCATTCACTACATTTCAGCCGCCAGGAGACTTCTACACCGACTCCCAATTATTCGGGACCCGCCAGATTTCAATGATCTTCTCCCCTATGAGTTTCTTATGATTCTTCCCCCTAGAAAACCCAAGAGCCTTTCTCCTACAACTGAAGTTTTTAAGCACCGAGAATAGGAAGCGCCATGACATCTGCGGGAGCGTCTCTCGTCAATTCTGACCCTCAAACAAGAATTCTTCTTTTAGAAGCAGAACCAAAGCGCCTGAAGTCACTCTCCCCCACCCCTAATTTGCACCGATTCCACCGAAACATAAGATACACCTCATTCGCCACAAATGTTGTTTCTAGCTTTAAACCTCATTTCTTTAAAGTACATCTGCGTTTCCCATCCCCCAACAGAAGTGACCCAAGGAGAGACGTTTTCGTAATTATACTTCCTCCCCACCCCCACGCTTTCCTCCGAGACTAAGCCTTCCTTTCCTCCCACGACCCCATTCCCTGCAGCCCCACGGGTTACCTTATTAATCCGTTTCAGCGCCATAGTCTGTGCTTTTCGTCTGGCTCCTCACTCTCTCGGTGTGTGCTCAAAGGTCCGGCCAAAACTCTTGATTATCCGGGCGGCAGGGAAGGATTGTCTCTTCGTCTCACACCGGCTCTGCCAGACACAGGCGCCTTTTGCAAAAACGGAGCAGATCAGCACTCGTACAGGCCCCGGATGAGACCCTGATGAATCCAGGTCCCTTAAAACGGTCGCGATCCGGGGTGGGTGGGGTGGCGTGGCAAAGCCACCAACAGCCTCTATGCCGTGCTTCGGCCCGAAGAGGAGGCGAGGGTGACGGGAAGAGCGGAGGGGCGGCTACAAGTTTGACTTCCCGGCCTCTCGAAAGGAAGAGACCCGGGTGGGAGAGGAAGAGGCGTAGGAGAAAGGGGTGGGTGCGGGGCAGGGTCCGGAGCCCAGCAGAGGAGGAGCCGGGGCCTAGTCGGCGCTATGCCGGCGTCACTAGGGCAAAGAAAGGCTAGGGGGGAGGGGGAAACAGGAGACTCCGGACTGACGCCGGGCTTCTTTCGGTTTCTGCTCAAAGGTGCGGCCAGGGAGGGGAAAGAAATAATAGAGGAAAGACTTGATGTGTGTTGCTGTCCCCGCAACTACAGCTATTCTGTGTCGGCCCCTGACGCCACCGTACACTCCGCCTTCCAGCGCGCTCCCGCACGCGCCCGCCCAGCCACCGCCACCACGCGCCCGTGCTGCCCCTGAGGCTCCGGCTCAGGCGCGAGGACGCGCCCATTCCCCCACCCCCTTAAACAGGAGAGGCCCTGGCTTCCCCAACCTTCCCACCCTACCCCACCCAACAGGCTGGTCACTCAAGCCACCCCAGGCCTGTATTTCCCCTCTTACCCGGCCGGCCAGTGGGCCGGCCTCCCTTCCCTTCCCCTAGCCGTCCACACCCACGCGTACAGAGGGGCCGGGGCCTCCCTCAAGCTGCGGCCTCGGCCTCCTCCCCGCGCGGCAGCTGGTGCCTCCCCGGCCCTACGGGGCTCACGCGCACGACACAGCCACAAGATGTCCGCTCTGACGGAACTACTGCCAGCTGCCACGCTCCGCCCCTCCCCCCTCCTCCTGCCTCTTCACCGCCGCGTATCAGTCCGCCAACGCCGCCGTCGCGAGCACAGGACGAATCTAAGGGTGAAGGGGAACGGTTTACTTCCTACGTCCAAGGCCGAGTTTATCTGTGCTACCCCCTTTTCCTTCTTTTTCGGAACAGCACCTTCTTACTAAACAGATCGGAGATTGGACTGGGAGGGCGGGGGCCGGAGGCGGGTCATGGGCTGGGGGGAAGGGTGGACGAGCGGCGGAAACCCTCAGATTCAGAGAAGCATCGAGAACCGGAAGAAGACCATGGGAGGAAGGTAATGGAAGCGGCAGCTGCGCGGTCGAGACCCACGCCCCTCCCAGCAGCGTCCCCCAATTTCCTCACTTGGTATTGAGGCGGCGGATCTCGCGAGAATCTCGTGGCTGGCTAGCAGGAGCTATAGCTCTGCAATGACTTAAGGGCAGTTTTGTGCGCTCTTCCTGATGGGGGCCCGCCCCCCAAACCCACAAATTCTCGCGAGATGCAATAGGCACCGGCTCGAGTTGGGGAGGGCTGTCTCCTGGAAGCACCGCCCCTGAATGCTTATATTGGTGGGAGGGAGAGGAAATGGAATTCCCCGGACTGGTTAGAGCGCGCGCCGACACATCCGTCTTTCACGCGCCCAATCAGGAATGTGCAGTGGGAGGTACTACGGTCTGATTACTAGATGTCTTTAGTCCTGGTTGATCCGGGGTTTTGAAGTTTTCGGTTAAGCAGGTGAGCGGTATTTACTCGCCTGCCCCGTGGGCTGGTTAACCAGTGGGAGGAGGCACCCCTCAAAATGGGAACAGTCATTTTAAGTAGAACCCAGCGGACCGCTGATCAGCGCTCTCACGTGCTGAAATATAGTGCATTTCTGACCTAGAGGGTCAATGTTGAGAAGAGTGGGCCCATATAGCCCTTCCTAGAATTACAGCAGGCTAGAAATCAAATTCAACTATGAATTAACAAGGAGGATGGGGAGATAGGGGTGGGCTGTTTATTTGCCTCGCCCCATCCGCCAAGATTGAGATAACGGGAATAGGCTTAAAAACTTTCCTCCTCTTTCTTTCAATTTCTAGATCCACAGAGTTGCAGAACTCAAGAGATCAGAGTTTTGGGTCAGAAAAACTTGTTACTTAACTGAAATATCCGGGCGGGGCAGAAATAGAAGGATGGAATTGGCCTGTTTTAATCTGCCGGATGTAAAATATGGAGAGGGTGGTTTTGCTCTCTGTGTATCCTTCAGGCAAAGGGTAGTACGACATTAATTTTTAAAAGGAATAAAGGTAAGCGCTGACTTGTTTAAAGTTTTCTAACATTCCTTTCTAACCTAACGAAGTGGGTATTTTAAAGAATTAAATAGAAATATAAACTTGTTTTTAAAATATACTTAAAAATAAAAAAGAAAACATCAAGTTCTTGTTACAATAAAGTATTACCTAATAACTAAAATAGGTCTGTGATGAATGGGCTAATGTATACTGTTTAAGTGGCCAGAATGAGTGTCATAGAGCAATTAGTGAAACAGTGCTTCTCAAGCTAGTATCTATGTGAGTCACCTAAGGATTTTGTTCAGAATGCAGATTTTGATTTAGTAAGCCTTGGTGGAGCATGAGAGTCTACAGTTTTAACAAACTCCGAAGTGATACAGATTATTCTGGTCAGAAGACAACCCTGTGAGTAGCAGAGCACTAAAGTGCTCATCACATAGCCTATTTCCCTTCTTCCAAAATAATCTTTGTTCTCTGTTTTAACCGGTCTAATATAGTAGAAACAGAATTAGGCAGTTGGGGCAGAGGATGAAATACAGGTTTGAGTTCTTGCTCTAATCTCATTTGGGTGATACTGTGTTGTTACCATCTTAGTTTTTTCCAACACTGAACTATACGTAATAAGAGCTGTCCTTTTTCACAGGGCTGTGGTATGGTTCAGATGTCATAATGTATGTAAAAGGGTACTGTACACCGCAGTGCTGTGTAAACATAAGTTATTAATGTAACCAGTCAGACATTAACTGGCCATCATGTGAAACGTGTAAAAATAATCATAAATATAGGTAATGTTTATGCAACAGTTGTCATGTGTCAGGTACTGTGCATATTAACTCCTTTTACAAATAAAGAAATTGATGCACAGGGAGATTAAGTTACTGATCCCAGGGTCACATAGCTAATAAATGGCAGAAGTAGAATTTGAACCCATGCAGTTAACTTCAGGGTATTTAACCAGTGGAGTTTCATATTGTCTTCTAGTTTAGAAAGTAGGAGAGTAGGATGTTTTATATTTCTACTTTCAGTGTCCTCTGAATCTCATTTGGTTTGGCTTATTTTTCCCTCTGTTTTGTTCTTTCAGAAGTTATACAAGAGTGGTAGGAAACATCGCTCCCTACCCAAAGGGAACTCACCATATCCAGGAGGTCCATAAAGAAAAGTCCGAGATAAGCCAATTTGTATTACCCTAATCTAAACAAGCTTCAGTATGAAAAGTATAATGGAACATGTTAATGCTCTTAATTAACAATGCACAGCAGACTGGGACAAATTTGAGGTCAGAGTTTTTAACTTTTGTGCCACAGACCACTTTGGCAGTCTGGTGAAGCCATGGACTCTTCTAAGAATGTTTCTAAATGTATAAAATAAAATTCATAGCAGTAGTTATAATGTGATACAAAGTATCTCATTCCTAGTGGTGATACAGACGTAGGTATAGCTGTTTGTTGCTTACATTCAAAATTGAAGGAAATGCTAAATTTCAGTTAGAGATTAGTAAAAATAAAGATGTATTTTTTTTTTCTCCCATCCAAGTTCACATACTTCCTGGATTCTATCCATGAACTTCATGATAAAAAATTTTAGGTAAAGTCTAGTGGGCTTATTCCTCTTAGTAAGCCTTGAGGGGATTGTGAAATATTAACATACAGTTATAATTTATATCCATAACAATAGTGATTCATTAAAAAAAAGTTTAATTACTACCAGTATACTCTCATTAAGAATGCGTGGAAGTACATAACAGTATTAGGAAATAGTTGTATCCAATTTGTTGATTTTATTTATTTTTTAAACTATATCTATAATCATACCCTATGGAAAACTTTCCTATCCAGATGACTCATTTCCCAAGCGTTCTGGTAACTTATGTTTTACTATATCATTCTTATTTATTACATGCCTTTGCAAATAAGATGTGGAAGAACTGCAAAATGAAAATAATAGCCAAAGATTAAATTAAAATACTGTATAAATTTCTTAATAAGTGTTAATAATTATTATTTGAAGTACTATGTGTGGGGTCTTTTAATTCATTATCTTATGAAATCTCCATTACATAGATGAAACACTCAAGATCTGAAAATTATTAACTGGTAGAGTCAGGATTTAAACCTAGGCAGTATGATCTCAAAGCTCACACTCAACCAGTAAGCTGTTTGATTATTTTTTAGTCCTTTGACTAATAGCCAATATTAATTTGCCTAATAGTGCAACAAGTATATATTTGCTGCCTCAATTATGCATTTCTTAGTATTCCAAGTAGAATTGCACCCAGTGACTGAAAGGAATTTTTTAAATTCTTCCTTTGCAGCAATATTGCTTATAAGATCCAACACCACCTTTAAGTAAGTGGGTGACCATTTGGGGCTGGAAAATTGTTTTGCAGAGATTTTTGTTGCAATGGAGTTTTGCTTGGAAAAATCCACTTATGCCTTTCCCTGCCCTACAGACATACTTTCTCATCTGAAATTAAACCTGTTTTATAATGGTGCCACTATATTTTTATGTTGGCCACTGTCAAGATTGTATACAAGAAATGATGACATATAAATAAATGCTAATATATGAAAGTCTAGATTATATATGCCTGGAGACAAGTGATTGTGTAATCCCAATTTTTTATTTGGCACTGAAGTGAATTTATTGGTTGATTACACCTTCTATTTATTTGCTTGTAGTTACACTAGCAAACTTAACAATTTTACTCAATTTTGTTAGGGGTAAAATTAAAAGGAACATGACCTAGAAGCATTTTGATGCTTTAGGGCAGCCTAGGGTTAGCTGAAAATTTAAAACACTATTTACATATCTAGTGTTAGAACTCACTTTACAGTTGCATATAAAGTTAAAATTGACTTTCATTAATTTGACTATTTGAATTACAGTGGTTGAAATGTCTCTATCTGATAAAAAGGAAAGACATGTTTTTTATATTACAGTCTTACAAAGGGCTAAAAAGGTTTTATATATGAAAAAACATAGACATTCAAAAATTAATACAGATACAAAAATGTTGAAAAGATGAGTTTTAAAAAATCCTTCTTAGTGAATATTGAAGTCTCAAAAACTTTCTAGTTATGGTAGATCAGATCTTGCGTGAATTCATGTAAAACACAACAAAATATAAAGAATCAAGAAGATTAGTATAAAAGTGGCAATGAAGTAAGTAATAAATAACTAATGAAAATGTGTCAAAGTCCTAATGTTATGTGAACATATCAGCAAAGCCACATAATTATAAAAACCTTAGTACTGGGGTTAATTAAAATGTACTTGTGAATAAATACAGTTAACATAGATTGATACGTATACTTAGGTTTATGGAGTCCGTATTGTCAGATCTTTGTAACTTTGTCATGGAATTTTATAACTTGCTAAGGATACTGGCTTGCTAGGATACTGGCTCTAACACACTGTATGCCATTTTATTAGTTTAATTAAATTGTAAATGCTGTGGTCCAGAATCTATGCTTACATATGCTGCTTGGAATAGGTAATTTAGAACCCAGGTCAACCAGTATTTCATATTGTTTGCATAAAAGTTATATTATCCCTTCTCTATACTTTACCAGTTTAGAATCTCATTTTATGATCAAGACAAGTTAATGTGGTTTAGGGGACTGTATTTATGCTAAGAACATCATTTTGACCTTACATTAAGATGGCTTTTGGTACATAATGAACCATGCACAAATGTTTGAGCTAAAAATAAATTTGAGCATTTTCCCATAAAAACCTGTATACATGAATGTTCAGAGTAACATTCATAATAGCTAAAAAGTGGAAAGAACTAAATGTCCATCAGCTGATAAATGGATAAATAAAATGTGATATATCCATATGATGGAATAGTATTAGTTAATAAGAAAATATGAAATACTGATACATGTATCTTGAAGCTTGAAAATATTCTAAGTGAAAAAACCCAGACACAAAGGCCACATGTTTCATTCCATTTATAGGAAATGGCTAGAATAGGCAAATCCATAGAGACAGAAAGGAGATGACTGGCTGCCAGGGATAGGGGCAGGGAGAATGGGAAGTGATTGCTAAATGAGTATGGGGTCTTTTGGGGGGAGATGGTGAAATGTGCTACATTGAGATAATGGTGATGGTTGCAGAACTCTACAGATACACTAAAACCCCCTGAATTGCACACTTTGAAAGAATTTTATGGTATGTGAATTATCTCAGAGTTTTAAAAAAAAAAGTTAATTAGAACCAAATGTGAAATCAACCTGAAGCTTATTACTAAATATTTTCAATATCTCAACATTCTCAGATTACTGATGATAAATGAGATACGGCATCCTTGTAAAATGAAAAATTTACAGCCAGCAGTAGGTTTTTCCTTCAATACAAATAGTATAATTAACCCAGATTAGATTTTAACACAATAGTAAGCCTTTGCTATCTGTTAGGTTTGTTTTTTTTTTTTTTAAAGATTTTGTTTATTTATTTGACAGAGAGAGAGACACAGCGAGAGAGAGAACACAAGCAGGGGAGTGGGAGAGGGAGAAGCAGGCTTCCCGCAGAGCAGGGAGCCCGATGCGGGGCTCGATCCCAGGACCCCGGGATCATGACCTGAGCCGAAGGCAGACGGTTAACGACTGAGCCACCCAGGCGCCTAGTTAGTTTTTAATTTGGGGGTGTTTTCACCAATCTTATTTAATGAATAAAACATAGTGATTAAAATTAATTTTAAGTAGCACTGTATTTCACTTGAAAATAAAAGTTCGAGAGTATGGCCAGAAATAGGATACATCCAGTTACAAATAGTCTAAACAGATAAAAACTTTTCTTTAAAATTTCAAATGAAATCAAGTTAGTTGAAAATCATGGATAAATCATCTAGATAAGGATTTTGAGGATTAGGTAGTGTCAAATGAGAAAAACAATGTAGTAACAAGTTTGATGTCTTTTATTGAAGGGAAACAATCCATCTATTGGGGGAGCATACTACCTAACAAACAGTAGAACACTCTTTTCAGGGGATTTTGGACAGGAGCCGGTTGTACAGAGCATTAGAAGCAGTAAGATGGTAGCAGTAGGATTGGCTAGGAGGCCAGGGATTTCCTTGTAAGGCTAACAGGTCCTGTGTTCTAGGGTAAGGCAACCTAGCTAAAGCTGAGTTGAAGGATTGTGATTGGTGTATGCTAGGTTTCCCTAGCAGGTGTTTTCCATAAGCTCTGCCTGATTTACGTTTAGGTTTGTGATGCGGGCCTGGCCACTGAGGTGGCCTCAGTTTTGTGGATCCCAGTATACAAATTAACTTTATCAGTACTTAACTAAAAAATAAATACTTTGAATTAATATTACTTTCCAACAATAGATATAATCTTTGTTGCTTCAATAACAATGTAAAAAAGTCCAAAGGAAACATATTGTGATTTAGACCAGAAATGGATCATTGTTTTACCAATACTGGATTTGATTATTTAAATATATCTATGTGAGAATTCTTTAGTAAATTAATAAATTCTTTTATTAAAGAATTGTAAGTTAGGAGTGATGGGAATGCTGTACATAGTGGTTCTGAAGGATCTGATCTATATAGTATCTAAGTAAATGGAGGCACTATGTGAGACTTTTTTTTTTTTCAAGATTTATTTATTAGAGTGTATACGCTCTAATAAAGGGGGGAGGGGCAGGAGGAGAGGGAGAACGAGTTTTAAGCAGACTCCATGGTGATTGTAGAGCCCATGTGGGGCTTAACCTCAGGACCTGAGATCATGACCTGAGCCTAAACCAACAGTCAGATGCCTAACTCACTGTGCCAGTTTTTGATACACAGTATTTGGTACCTGTTGATTTTTTTCACTGCACGAAAGCAGTAATTTTAACACATGGCACTAAAAGAATGAAACTAAGAAACATTTCACTACATCTAAAAAAACCTTAACGAATTTGACTTATTTGGTGTTGAAGAAATGTGACAGTTTCAGAGATATCCCATCATCAAAGCATATTAAATCCCAAAAGTTAACGATTAATAATGAGATTGGTCTTTACCCTATATATACTTGGTAAGAGAACAGTATGATACAGGTTCTCCACCTTACAAAAAGACCCGTACAAAAATGGAGAATCTTGGGTGCTACAATACTTGAAATTCAGCTCTCCGAGAATACTTTCACAAAACCCCCTGAGATTTAAGATATAATTAGATAGTCACAGATTTTTGTGAATTTAACTTTTCCTTATTTTCCTTCTTTCTATTCTGCAATAATGGAGAGAAGGAGATTACCCTGGAGCATTTTAGGGATAAGGCTTAATTCCTACTCCTGGCTTGGATAGGGCTATAATTAGGGACAAAAGGTAAGGACATTGGAGACTACACGGAAAGGCATGCAGGAAGAAGCGGGAAGAAAAATGTCAAAGGCAAAACTATTCTTAAGGAAACAAGGAATAAGGAGGATATTTTTTTTCTTCCCCCTCTTTGCTCAAGCACTAGAAGATCTACTCTTGAGCATAGAGTTCAGGCTACCACCATTATGGTGGTTCAGTTTTACACAACTTGATTGCCATTTCTATACTTGCTAACTTGAAATTTAGTCACTATAACATTGTTCACATATGATAGTGCATTCAGCCTTCCAAAAAAGCCTCCTTATTTACGGCTTTTAAAAACATCCATTTATAATATGGGACTGCTTTTGATGTAGGTTGAGGCAGAATCAAGGGACTCATACAGTTTGTCAGTCAGTGATATTTGCGTCTAACTAGGCCAAGTGGAAGTTTCTCCCTAAGTGAAGGTTTAGGCTGAAGAATGTTAATGTAATAGAGACCTATTGATATAATTACACCCATCTTCCTAAAAAAATATATTGAATGCCTTTTATATGCAAGGCATTGAGCTAGATGCTGAAGATACATAAATGAAAGACCCAGATGTCACCTTTAAGAAAGTCTTTTAATTGGGAAGACCATTAAGGATCAGACAATCACAGTAATGTGATGACATAAATGCATGCATAGAGTAATATTAAGGTACTTAATTTAGCTGGGGGTGCTCAGGGCAAGTTTCTATATGGAAGAGAGCTGTCTTTAAAGAAATGAAAGAAAGGCATAGCTGGTGGGGGGCGGGGGAAAGGAGGAAGCTTCCTAGGCAGAGGGAACAACGCAAAGACTTAGAGAACTTGACCTGGTAAGTTTTGGAAACCACAGGTTTGGCAAGTACTTTGGCTTGCAGTTGGGGAGTAGAGGAGGGCAGAGGAAAGAATGAATGAGAAGAGACAAAACAGTTGAAAGACAAGGCTAGATATATTGAGGGCCTTAACATGCCATGGTAATGAGTTCAGATTTTATTCTGAAGGGTATGGGATGGGAGAATTGAATTTTAACATAAAGTCTTGACCAGACTTTAATCACAAGAAGATAACTATGTGATAGCAGTATGGAAGATGTAACTGAAGTGTGTGTTAGAGTGGAGACTAGAAGCAAAGAGACCACTTGGGATGCTATTGAATAGTTGAGATGTGATTGTGAGAAAGACCTAGGATAATTGCAGTACTTGCACTAAAGACCATAGTATGTTTAGTGTATTTACTGGGTAGAGTTTATGTTAAAAATTTTTCTGAGGATCCTCCAGTTATTTTTATTAGAATATTATAATAAAATCATGTATAAAAAACATTCCAATAAGCTATAACATTGTAATAAAAATAGGTTAAGACCTAATACTTGGTATTAACTCTTTATGCTCTTACCTCTTGAAGAACCTTAAAACTAAAGTTTATAAAATGTAGAAAAATATAAACTAATAAAATTAATATCTGTGTGTAACCTGCGTGCTACTTAAGTTTTTTTACTTTTTACAAATTGCCTCTTGAAACGTAAATACAGAACTAACTGCCACAATTTAGGTTCTTCTAAATTTGGAATGTCTGTACTAACTGGTTGTGTTCCATATATGATGACCAGTTTTCTTTACTAAACCTTTAAGAGACCTTTGTTCATTCTTTCACTGATGTTATTTGGCTTTCACATGGCCAGAAAGAAGTGTTTATTATCTATTTCTTTTCTCATTTGCCTAAGAGAGTGCTGTTACACAGTATCAACAAGATCATAAACCTAAACACAACACAGGCTCTGGAATCACATGGCAGTATTTAGTTATAGGTGGCAATTATGGTGATTTAGACTGTGATTGTATTAGGGATTAATGAAATAAATCACAAAATGGGAAAAAATCTGGTAAAGAATTCAAAGATTCTAGTTTGAGAAATACTGATGTAGAGGTTATAAAAAACCTTTTGTCACATACCTAAAGTCATATTTGTTGAGTCTTGACTTTGTGACTCTGAGTAGAGTCAAGAAATGGTAGGCAGGTAGGACAGATAAGTAACTTGACTCTAAAGTTAAAGGGGGGGGGGAAGGGCTTAGGTGCATTTTAAGGTTCATTCCTGTTCTGGAGCTAAAAACATAATATCTAATGGGAAAGTAATTCTGTCTCCAGGTCAGC